GGGGGGGGGAGGGCAACAACCTGGACTCTCCCAGCCAAGTCTATTGCCAAGCCCTTCTCCAGAGTCAAATAAGCCACTTAATCACTGCAACGGCACTGTGAAGCAGGCACTGGCCTCCGTCCCCATTCAAAATGAGCAAACTGAAAACTGAAGCCCCCACGGGTTCCCTTGCTCTCCAGCACAGGAGTCAACATGTATGAACATATGCCAACATGTCCCTAAAGTCTGCTGCCTTGGGGCCCCAACACGACTTTCAAATAAACTTTTACCTTTCCCAGCTGAGGCATCCCTGCTGTCTGGCCTTTGGCAACACCCAGCCTAGAGCTGTCTGCATGCCCAGCACTCTTCTAACGTTCCATATGTGCAGGCACTTCACTCTCCCTGGGCCTCCGAGGCAGAACGCTTTTCCTATTGGTAAGTAGAGGCAATGAGGTGTGAGGACAAGGAGGCAAGCAAGAATTCAGTCTTACTTGGTTTTCTGCCCTGTCTCCAGGAACAAGACTGGGGGAGGGACAGTCATCCCAGGAGAGAGGAGACACACCCTATGCCATCTTTGGGAACTGTGCTCATCCATGCCACCAGGCCTTCAGCTACCTTCCTCCACACCTGGGTGTTTCTCCACGTGCTTGCTCCTTCCCACCTTCCTCAGAATGCCTTCTGTTCTAGAACCTTCTGTGGCTCATGCTGAGTGATCAGCATGTGAAAGATCTACCTCACCTGCCTTCTCCATCCCTCTCTGCCCTCCCACCTCCCAATGCTCACCAGGTACAGACACCACAGTGCCATCTCTTCCCCTCTGATTGCCGCTCACACTCATCTATGTGCCCCCCTCCCGAGAGGCTCCCCGACTCACTGACCCCTCACACTTCCTTCTCTTCCTCTGCTTCTTCTTCTTGCTGAGGCCCAGGGGGATGAGCAGAATGTCCCAGCTTCTCCAGCCCTATTGCAGCCCTTGCCACACTCTCAGTCCCAGCCCCCCACACCAGTGACGAGCTGTCGGCCCTGGGACACGGATATCACTAGGTCAGGTCTTCTGTGGCTAGAGCACTCAAGCGTAATCCTGCCAAGATGCTGTGCGCTGAGTCACCCGCCCGTTGTCTTTTCATTAATTGGCTGGATGTGACTTACAATTTAATAAGGGACATTTGATGAATTGAAGGTCAATGCTCTCAAAACATCTCTCAATGTGGAAAATGTGAATCAAAGAGAGATTCTTGGCAGACAGACTCACTGCTGCCAGAGCCAACTGCTGCCAGCATGATGGGATGGTGTTGTAGCTGAGCCTGTGCAGGCGTCCGTCTTGAGAAGCCACTGCCTGCAGAAAGCTGGCCCTGGCTATGTGAAGCAGCGAGGGCACGCTCCTTCCCAGGCCTCGGGGACCTGCTTACCCACTGTGCGGACCCATTCATAACTGCCATTTTCCTCCAGAGCAGCCTGGGACTCCCTGCTCCAGGAACACACCAAATCTATTTATCATTAAGAAATCAGAATAACAATCACGGGAGAACCTTCCAGAATCCTGTTGAAGCTAAACATCCCTAGAGTTCTCTGCGCGTTCTTGCTAGAAAACCTTTGGTCAAGAAGTTGGAACGCAGGCCTCACAAGGGTGGGTACCGTGTCCACAGAGGTCAGCCTGACATCCCGTCCTCTGCCCGATCGATCGGTGGCATGTAGCACTCAATAGGCTGCATGAGAGAGCAAACAGGCTCTCGAGGATTGGCTCGGCTGGAGGCAGACTTAGTAGATCTCCTTTGCATTGTACTTTCGGCCCAGCCAGGCCACCTGTGCAGAGGCGTGGGAATTGGGATGGAGAAGCACGGAAAACGCAGCCACCCTGGAACCAGGGCAGTCACAGAGGCAGGAGGACATGCTCCTCTCCTACCCCTACTGTCCTCTGTTCCCTCTCATGCTGTGCCCTAAGAAGCTGTGAAACAGTGCTTTCAGGGAGGGGGGAGGGGAAGCAGTACCGGGTAACACTCGCACCATGCCTGCCCCACTAAGGGCTGTCAGCACCCTCGTGGCCTTATCCCGTTTCGGGAATGCCCCATGAGAGTCCCCTGGTCAGGCGACGCCTCAGAGGTTTTCTTTTCTTTGGGGTGGAATGCTGAGCAAGTCTGACCCCAGCCGCATACATGCAGATCCCATGTGCAATTAATTATTTAAAGGAGGCGGGGAAACTTGAAGTCATGATCCTGGGCTTCGGTTACTGCTTCTTAAATCACATTTCAGGCAAGTCACATGTCCCACAGCAACAATCAACAGCTGAAACACACCAGATACACATGAGCCCCGGAATGGAATTTTCAGTGCCCCCGAGAGGCAGGAGCCAGGCCTCCCTCCCCTTCCAAGTCAGAAAGTTCAAGGAAGTCAGAGCAGTGAAGAAAGAAGACCCAGCTGAGCAGATGGCAAGGCCAGGACGGCTGGGTCTCAGGGATCCAGAGTTTGCTGCTCTCACTGGATGATGAAAACCCAGATGCCTAGTAGAGTGCCATTGCACAACTCCATGTGTGGTGGGACCCATGGGGGTGCTGTTACACGGGGGATAGGAGTTGTTGTCATTGAGACGGTGTCTCATGGAGTCCAGGCTGGCCTGGAACCTGCTGAGTAACCTAGGATAACCTTGAACAACTACTGTGATTATGGGCCTTCCCCATCATGTCCAGCTGGTTTTGGCTCTTTTGTGAGAGTCTTACTCTTTAGTCCAGGCTGACCTGACTCTGTGAGACACCTGGAGGCAGATGCCTCTGGCGCTTCTCTGACCCCTGGGGCCCTGCTGTTCAGGGGGACATCAAAAGCCAGCCCACACAGCAGGGAGGCTGAGGCCAGGACTCCTCTGCATGCTTCTCCCTCAGGCAAGAGGAGACCCTGAGGCCAATCAGGTTACCATGACAGCTGGCCCTGTGACACACTGCAAGTCGCATGGTTTCTATGCAATTATCTAGGCACACCTGGTGAAAGGGGACATGAGGCCCAGGACCCAGGCTGGGAAGCCTCAACAGTGAGACCACTGTGCCACAGATGGGCACAAGTACACAACCTCACATGTGTGCATACTCCTATGAGTCTGTATACACATATGTATACATGGGCACTTCTAGGACATTTGGTGGCTCCCTGTGAGGTCCCATCCCTCAGACTAAACCATATCCATCTCTTCTCTAGGGTGGTAGGAAAAATTCCAAAAGGACAGCTGAATCCTTTGACTTGGAAGTCCAGAGCATCATAGAGAAGCCTGTACAAAGGTCCGGTCACAGAAATAACCGGGGAAACCGGTTATAGTGACCCAGACCTCTACGCTGGACTGTTGGTCATGGCTGGATGCAAGGCTGGGTGACTTCCAAGTCTTCCATCCTCAGCAAGGCCAAGACAGGGCTTGCATACTCACTCCACAACTCTGCCACATTCTTCCACATCTTCCGTGACCCCAGCACTTCCCTAGACCCCCATGGATCTAATGATGATCAAGACAGAGTGGTCCCCGATTCTGGGGAGCCCTGAGGACTTAATGACTACTCTGCACTCTCTTCCCCAAAGCCACTGGCTCCTCCATAGAGAGATACACACCTCCAGCCCAGTCCCTGCTATCCCTTCTAAGGAGGTGGTCCACGCTAGACGCTACGTCACCTCTTTGATTTAATAACAGCTGACAAAACCCAGGTCCTGCAGGGCCAATTTCTGCCTAAGGACACCAGGGTGGAGCATACCTACGTACGGAAAATCAGAAGCCATCTTGCTTCACTCCCTGGTTCTGCCTCTTTCCCACTGCTGAATTTCTAAGCACAGAGCTCCAAGTAGAGGCACAAGAACACAACCCCCACACGCTATGCCCACATCTCCAGCCATCAAACCGCGACAGTATCTCAGCCACTCCTCTTCACTTGAGTCAGCTACCAGGAGGCGCACCTGGTCACACTAGGCTCTGCTTGGAGTTTCAGATACTCTCACCTTCGGGAGCACCCTTTTGGTCTCCAGCTGGGGTTATGGCTCAATGGAAGAGTGCTTTCCCAGCATGCCTGAGGACCTGGACTCAGTTCTTAGCACTGAGGCAGACAGGTATCGGGCCAGTCTTCTGTTTGGAGGTAGATTCACAGTAGTTGTTGACACTCAAGAGCCCTTACTCCGACATCACACGTTAACACTTGGCAAATGAGAAAAGGAGGGCACAGGAACTATAGCACCTTGCCGTGGGTCACAGAGCAAAACATTTTACTCAGAGCCTGCCTAAGACGTCCAGGCTCCTGACAACCGCCACGAATTCAGTTTCAGCCAGAGACGGTTCTGATGTTCCGGAGACACCTGGGCAGCGACTGAGGCCCCTGCATTGACAACAGGCCCTGCTACCTCAGTCCTGGGCCTCCCTACTTTCATAGTGGCTGGAGCTTTGTCCAACCTCACCTCTGCCTTTGACTGTGTCCTCCTGGATTCTGTCATCCCTATAAACCAGGCCATTAGGAAGCAATGGAGTGAGTATTGTGTGAGTGTGTGAATCTCTGTGTGCATGTGTGTATGTGTGTCTCTGTCGGGTGGGGGAGATTCAGAGCATGTGGGAGCTGGGAGATCAGGCCCCATTGCAGCCTCAGCTGGGGGCTGCCATGTAGGCAGTGGCCAGCAAGGCTCACTTCCCCACAAGTGTGAGGAATCAAAACTTAGATGTGAAATATTCCCACATGCTTGCATTTATGCCAATTTCCTTTATTGATAAGCTCGGGGCGGGGGGGCTGACAGAGAAGATCAAGCCTGTCTGAAAGCTTCCTAAGAAGACAACCGTCCTGTCTTTGAATTAGGAGCGACAGGAGCCTAGGGCTCTGGCAGCTTCTGCACCCCATAAGCAATCCTTCCTGCAGTTCAGTGAACAGGCTCAGAGGGTACAATGAGAAGCAGTGACAGGGCCCAGGCCCACGAAAAGTCCTAGGTCCTCACCACCCTCCACTCTGTGCCACCCTACTTTCTCCAAGGTTTCTGCCTGGCTGTCTCATCACAGAGTCCTGGGTGGACAATTAGTCATGCTAGGGCAATGAGGGAGCAGGCAGAGGTGACTGACGTAAACTGTGGCCTCACAGTGAGGGCTCAGGGCAAGGATAGTGGCAAGCCTTCTCACACCCTCCCTGACTAAGGGTTAGTGCACCTGGCCTCCAGTGCGACCCAGTTTTGCAGGTGTGGAAGGCCAGGGCCAGCTGCCACCACTGGCTTGCTGATGAATCTGGACAAGAACTATATGCTTCTAGGAACTTGGCTCCCACGCTCCAAAACAAAGGACTGGCTGGTGCAGCCCACCTCAGGCCCAGCCCAGTGCCAGCCCTTCTGTGAGTGTGTGGACATGGCTGTGTCCTCAGGCTGTGCTCTCCATCT